GGTGGTGGTAATAGTGCCCGTAGTAATAATAACAGTAGTAGCAGACGTAGTAGTAAGTAGTAGTAGTAGTAGTAGTAGTAGTAGTAGTAGTAGGAGTAGTAGTAGTAGTAGTAGTAGTAGTAGTAGCAGCGAAAAGCAGTAGTAGCAGCAGTAGTAGTAGTCGTCGTCGCAGTAGGAGGAGGAGCGTTTTATGAAGTAATCTGTCAGAGTGCTCACAACCCACTGCCTTCCCCCCAACAATCACTAAATCCAGTCAAAGTATCAAATTACACCCCACTAGCAACAATAATCCATACTGACCTCAAGCCCTGCTCCGCCGCGAGCTTTCGTGACTTTGCATTTCACCTCGGAGTGGCTATCAATCCTATTTTAGTCTGCTCAGAAATCCTGTGATCATCCCCAGACTTTCGGGTGTTGACGGGGCTTGTGAAGTTCGTCAATGGTCCTACTGCAAAGAGCTTCATTACTAGTCCCCGTCCGAAACGGTCTCTGCAACAGCACTGGCAGCACCACAAGCTTTTCCGCAAGCACCTGCGGATATCTTTGGAGAACCCTGATCCTGCTCAAGGCTCCGAGAATGAGCAGGCGATAACTTTGGCTCAAGTCTCATGTGCTACAACGCCATGAGAGACGAAGCCTGACTGGTGGAAGGCCCCACTCCATTGGATGCACAAATCTTATGATAATCTTTTTGGAAATTTCACTATGCGAGTGCAGGCTGACTGTGCATCAGTGCGTGGATCCTGCAAAATAGAATCCACGAAGCTCCGAGCCACGTCCAAGCCAAGCTTGACGGCGATCTGTGACATCGTTGGCTCCACACTTACGGCATCTCATGACACCGTTGTTCGATGCCAGATAGTCCACCACAGATTGGATCGCTATGCAACAGCTGCAACCTCGCAAGGGATCGTTGAATGAGCCACACTCTTTGGCAAACCCATGGCAAATCTGAGGAGTGGACGGATTCAGCGGCCTTTGCCAGGCGCTTCTTTTCCAAGGGCTTCAGTGACAGCGCCTCGACAGCCCACTGCAGCCATCCACAAAGACGCACAAACACAGTACCTCAGCAAAGTCATCAGTGTTTTCCACGATGTCCTGCCAAGCGTCTGCACATCATCGCACATCCCAAGGCACTATGCTGACATGTCGCTGGCAAAAGATCCTCTATGGAAGCTGCACCCTGTTCATCGCACCTCATCTGCATCGGCTGACAATTCTGATTGAGCAACGGTGCGGACACAAGAGAAACTTTGGCTTGGGCCAGTCCAGTGCAGCCTGCTGAATTCTTGCGATGCTGGTAGGCTTGCAAAATGCATGGCCTGCTGCATCCTTTTTGGTGTCTTTTGCCTGTTTTTGGGCAGGCCTGCATGTACTTGGAGAGGCGAGCACTCTCCAAGAACTTTTCCAGATCACGTTCCAAGACCTCCTGCAAGCTCGGAAAACGAATAGGCGACAGAAGAGGAGGAGGGACGCCATAGGCTGCAGTGCCGGTGGGGCGCCTCCTCGACAGAGGCTCCCTCGGTGTCAATCCCATAGAACTCCGCGATGGCCTGCCAGCACAACATCCAGACAACGTCAGAGCACCATCCATGATGCTGCCACGAGCGGCAGGACATCGGTGAGCAAGTCGCACTGCCTTGGATAATCGCTCGGCGCCCCAGTACTGGTTCTCGACAATGCCAGGGGTATCCTTACAAGCATGTGACGGACTCCCGTCTGTGACGATCAGGCTGCCACGAAAAGAAGCAAAACATGCTGGCACGAGCGGAAACCAGTTCGAAGGCTTGACATTTGACGGCTTCCAACTACCGAACTATTTGGGCTGCTTGGTAGTTTCGGAAGCCCTGCGGAGTTCAGGCCACAGTATCTTCAAAAGTCTTTCACTTGTTTCTGCAAGTCCATTCTACAGTGCGAAATTGTTGTCCTATGATACTCTCTGACAATCGTATGCAATCCAAGTAGATGCCTGTTGAGCACGGTAAGCAGTGACACAAGGTGACTGATACTTTCGGTGACCTAGACGGAACGACTCCTTACAACTTATTGAAACCAAATGATTGAAGAAAGCTATCTGCGAAAGATCGCGGAGTATCGCTCAATTCCATTCAATTCCGCGGACCCCCGTAAGTTTTCTTCATGTGTTCAACCAGGCTTCAAACCTCTGCTTATCACGGCACGTCTTATTAATCTTGCTGCTTTCTCCTGAGAGAGACAGAGAATGTATGTACATGTGGTCGGATTGCCAGTCAGCTCATGGTCATAGCATGTACGAGCTATCTTGATCTTTTCGAGTATGTTCAAAAATTTACAAGTATGTTCCACAAGCCGTTTCTTTTGCTGGTGTATTCCCAATGGTTCCCAAAGACAAAGATCCGGAATAATCCTGTTTTGCTCAGGACTTAGGAGGCAGGTACCGCCCCGGGCAAGAGGTCGGCTGATATCACGCGCTGTGTACCCATTAATTATTTATGCAAACCTCCAAGGGTGCATTCAGCCTGTTTCAGCCTCACGCATGTGTCGATGCCCGGCTGCATGGCGCTCACGCCGATGATCTCGAGGCCCTACTAATAAGAGCGAAGGGGAGACAGGTGATACCGTTGAGAGATCGCTTCCGTTCCGTTTTGGGATGTCCCTTCAAGTGTGCGAAGACTCGTGGTGGCGACACAGTGGAGGTTGTGGATGGAGACGAAGTGTTCGTCCTACACGCTAGGGATGTACTGTTTAGCAGGATGGCTCGGCGAGAAGACCAAAGCGGGCAAGGTCACGGCGAAGGAGATGCAGCAGAAGCTAGGACGTCTCGGTTTCGCGGCCATTGCGCTGGACTAGTTCTAGGAAACAACGAAATCTTTCACCGGAGATGCATAGATCTCTACTGCGTATTTCTTTTGAAACTGCTTTCGCTTCGGTGGCGTGTTCTGCGATTTCGGATTCCCTTCCGAATCCTGATCGGGTATCTCGAATGTCTCAATCGCACTGCATACAGAAATGTCGTTTCGAGATTCGGAGGACTGACCGTTTCCCATCGGTGGTGGTCGCATACTCCCATCGCAAGCGAACGCCACGAGACCGTACCGGTCTCGTCATCAAGGTTCGGTGCAGGGCATCGGTGCCAAGGATATCGGAAAAGGCCCTAATAAAGGCGAAAGCGACATCACCAGGCTGGGTCGTATGATCTTCGTGGATCCACTCCTCATGGCCACTAGCGCCCTATCCAACCCATTCTACCGGAGTAGTAACAGCGCTCGAGACGAGCTAGCCGAGCGACGACCGAGAAACACCCAACACAGCTAGCTCGCACACTGACTCGTCTTTTTCCATGGATGTGGCACAACCCCAGTTTGCCTACAGATTGCCACTAGCCTCCGGCTAGCCATCCCCTATAAGCGGAGCCACTCAGGCTACCAGGGTTTTAGCCTACGGACTTTTCGGTTGAATGCGACACCCTCGCCGGTGCCTCTCGCTTTCGCAGTCCTAGCTCCTTGTAGAGGCCATCGGAGTGCGCGAGTAGCCGTTCCTTGATTTTCCAAGCGAACTTTCTCCCTGAGGTCTATCCTCAATCCGGGGTCGGAGTCGAAGCTGCAGCTGTAGCTCACAATTCTTGTGGGATAGCTCGCCTGCCATCTCCCTCAAAATTTGCATCGACGGATAATTGGTCGTCATAGCCTTTCTCAGTAGGGCCCCGTTAGATTGGCTATCCTTGTAGCCCCGGATGGCCACTCGAGAACTCTTCCTATCCTCGCCCTGCGAGACTCCGAGACGTATCCCGACGAGGGTCGCTAGCAACTGTAGCGGCGCTATCACCTTTTGTTCACCTTCACACCGTCACACTGTGGGTGGATTATTATCCGCTTCTTATCCTTCTGGTCGTCCTCGACAATACTGCCAAGGCCGCGATAGCACGATTCTCCCCGAACCTCTTCTTCCAGGCTCCCAATCCAAATGCTCGAGCCGCCACTCAAGACGCGCGGCGACCCGGCTAGCTCGAAGTCGCAGGGGCTTTATCTACCGCCCAAACAATCCGAGGATCTCTCCGTGGATGTCGCTATTCGGACTGGCCTACAGCCCAGCTCGCCCTCGGCCGCCATCCGGAAGACCTCCGCCAGTTGGTAGCACTTGCTTGGAGGACCTGCCCACCTAAAACACGATCCCTCTCTCTGATCTCCTGCACTATCCGCACCACCTCTCCCCTTATCCGGTACGGGTCACTCAGACCAGTCGTCGGCGTAGCTGACAGTCGTCGGCGTAGCTGGCGGCGGCGTAACCTTGGGGAGGGCCGGCGGGCATAGCCCCCACGGCCGGGCCCACGAATCCCTAACAACAACATCGTGCAGTTTGCCAGCAAACCACGAAATTAGCCGCCAGGGCAGGAGTCGGCAGGAGTCGCCAGGCTAGCCTATCGCAAAATCTTTAGCCAGGACCGCCTTCAAGTCGGCTTCGCTAGCGGATGGCCCTTTTGCTGCTAGCCGCTAGCCCATGGTGTTGCATCGCGGCGCTCGCCTGCTATCCTAGGTGTGCCCTCTATCCCTGTGCGCACTGCCTAACCCCACACCTATGACGTTGCACTACACGTCGCGCCCCAGCAACCTATCATCCCCCATAATCCACCCTCGGTGGGGGATCTGTCCTACTAGCTCCTTGCCTCTCTCCGACTTCTTGCACACCTGGATACTTTCCTGTGCTCGACCTCATCCTCAATCACACAGTCGTGGTCTCGACAGTCTGGCTAGCTGAATGCACTATCCAGTGGCCTCAGGCCTCCCTGCCTCAAAGCGGTCGAGGGGCCAATCCTCGCGCAGCCCTCGCCAGAAGTCAGATGTGCTGGTCCAGCTTGCCGAGCCAGACGGAGAGGTCACAGCCGCCAGCCAGGGTCTGCTAGCCGGGCGGCGCAGAGCTCGACCGTCATTCTACGCAGGCGGGGCGCCCTTCCACGCCGTGGTGGACGAGCAACAGCGTCTTTAGCTGGCTAGCCCACTGCCTGTGGTTTGCCTTTATCCTGGTCTATCCTCTTCATAAATGTCTGTGTTCAACTATCTTAAGATCTCTCCTGCTCCTGTGTCAGGAAACCCCAACTCGTAGCCCTTTGTAGCCTGAGGACTCTATCCGAGAGGTTGCCCTTAGCCACCTGGCAGCTCGGTCTCTGCGCTTTCTCGACGATGGAGTTATCTCGCCATGCTGACATCTGGTCAGGCTCCATCTTCCTCGCGATAGCCCCGTATATCTTCATGGCCCGGTCTGGTCGGGAAACAACATAGCGCAGTTCCCGAGCCACTTTTGACTTTTTTGGGATCATGTAGCCAGCTCTGTCCATCGCTATCCTCATCGCTAGCCGCTAGCCTGGTCTGCCCAGGCGCCCCTTCCACTTGTGGGGTGCACCCATGGCGGTTTCTGGCTGACTAGCCTCGCACGAAGCATCTGTTGAGTCGTGACCCCCTAGCTGGCCACAAAGGTCGCCCGCAGACATTCGCAGCAGCTCGTCCGCACATGAGCGAAGTACATTCGCATGTTAGGTGCCAACATCGAAAATGCGCAATCCAAGATTGGATCGGCCAGGTCGCAACAGAGATCAGAAATCGGCGGTTTCGCGCTCATTGCACCAGTCTCGGAGTCGCGAAAGTCGATCATCGATGCTGGTGTTGTAGAGGTCGGCGAGTGAAGCCAGCATCGCACGCCAACCAGGGAATACACCAACGTAGCCCTGGTATCGGTGAAATTGTTCGGGAAGAGCACTCGCTCGTGAAGCATGTCGTTATTCGGGGTGTAAACCGGCAAGTCGACGAAAAAACCGAAGTTTGTGAGAGCACTCGCGAATGTCGGACACTGCAGGACCCGCTCGAGGTAGAGGACACCATCGTAGGGAATCTCCCAGGGGGCGTCAGGGGCAACACTGCCAAAGGATGATTTCCCGGCCGCAACATTGTGACGTCGCTGCCCCCGCCTGGTACCAAGGGAGGGCAATCGTTGCTGTTCATTCATCGCGGACCCTGATCGCATCTTCGGAGACATTCCAGGAGGGGCAGTCGAGGTAGAGCGTGACGTCAGATCGCGGCATCGAATTTACCGTGCTGATTCCAGCAAGTAATGTGATAACCACAGAGTCCCGGAAACCACTTGTGGCAGATTAGATCGGGGACAACCCAGTGCTCGTTGATGAACGTTCGATTGTTGCAGTTCTTGCTCTCGATGTATCGAGGACATACACGAAGTCCCGGTTCAATCATGGAGATAACTTCGGTACATTTCACCTCCTGGGGAAAAGAGTCCAGCATAGTCGGCGGAACAGACACCTCGAAGGCCTCAAAGCTGCCTTCTCAGAGAAAGGGCAAACAAGACGTGCTCCGCCGCCAGGACATGGCTTGCGCAGGAACTCGAGGAGGGAAGAAAAAGAAAAACTTGAATTCGAAACGTATACCGACATGGCCACGGAATGTATCATGTAGATCCAAGGAGTCGATCGATGAATGATGAAAGCAATGAGTTGTCATTCATGTCGCACACACATGTGCTACACCACAGCTCAATTGCCCCCTCGTTCTCCGCCTTTCTGTGAATGCGGACAGCAGCGCCCTAAGCGAAGGTCTTGGGCAGAAGACGTGGAGTGTGTTGAAAGCTACGCCCAAACACCGGGGGGGGGGGGACGAAAGGTGCGGGAGGTGCCTGGGAAAACGTGGAGTTACAAATGCTGGAAGTATGCAAACGGTCCTGTTTTCTGCAGATTAAGCACCAGTCTGCTGCAGCCGAGAAAGGAAGGGGCAGGCCACGCCCCAAAACACCCACGTGCCGCAGGGGATAACTGCCTAAACCAACCCAAATCACACCACTTTTGGGGGTCGCCACCCCCTACACGTTCTGGCAGAACGAGTTCTGGCTATTGAAACGCAAGGCTCTCTGGGGAGAGTTTTCGTGACTGGCGGGACGGCGAGGGCAAAGAACGCGCGAGCAAAATGTTGGTTTGCTGGTGGTCGCTGAAAGGCTCGGGATACTTGGGGGGGAACTTTGGATCAATGCGCGGCACGTTTCTCTGCTGTTGTTGCGTGCGAAGAGATAGATGCTTCGGGGGTTAAGGGTTTACACTTCCAGTGGCCGGGGTGTGTGGGCATGGCATCGAGCCGAAAAATAAATCAACGGTCCACCTTCTTTTCCACTACCCGCGGAGTGGTGTGGTCCGAAACCGCAGCCTCAAGCCTCTGAAAGGCGAACTGGTCGGTCCGCGAAAATGCCTCCGGAAAAAAACTAAAAGCTCTTGACTCACACACGGCTTCAGCAGCCGTCTGTAAGTTTGCCCCTGACAGGAGCAAACGCATACTCTCACATGCCTAACTCATCAGTGGGTGCACACGTGCATTTCGCGACAAGCGCAATAATGATCCCACCCCAAGCACAAATTGAAACAGAGGGAAGCAGGGAAAGGTCCTGGCCCGCAGATGTCCCTGTGCATCGCATAGCACACTGGGCTTGGAGACCAATCGTGAAACAGCAGTGGACAGTTTGGAGTCACGAAAGGCGACCGCAAACGGGCTTCGAGAGGCAGCATTCAAGCGCCGATGGTGCGACATAGGAAGTGCGTGAACGAGCGAGATGAGTTTGCCCAAGACAGCAATGCGGACAGGTGCAGGCAAAAGAAAACACAAGGATTGGCAGGATGCTTACAAGCTGATACGGCCCAACTCCATTGCATCTGAGGATGTGCAGCAGATTGCACAACTCACCAACAAAGCTTCGTGCTTTCAGCCAGTGACAGCTAGTGATAGCTCATGCAGCCACTGGCACTGCTCGAAGACGAAGGTCAGCGACTTCCTCGTACATCTCGTTGTATTTCTCGACCATATCCATGTATTCCGCCTTTGCCTCGCAGAATCGCAGCACAGGTTTTGGAGCACCGCCCGTTCAAGCATGAAAAGAAAACACTTTCACGAAGGCTCCGAAGCCGATGCCTCCCCGTCATCAATGTCTCCATCCCAGCCATTTGCAATGCACCAAACAGGCGGCCTGCAGGTTAAGCAGTTACCGGATTTCCTCAGAGCCCCCTAAGATAAGAGCCTAAGAGCCCAAGGCAAGGCACCTGATAATCTCGTAGGGGATGAAGAGTCCGCCACCGGCTTTGGCTCTCATCTGTGTCTTGCTCCTTCGACGTTCGAGCTTTGGATTAGACTCTTTGGATTGCCACAGTCACAGTGCCGTTACTTACTATCCGAGGTCCAGCTGAACTCTGCCGCAACATCTATCCAGATCACCAAGCCGGTTTTCAGGATTTCAACCTGCATCGTGGCAGCCAGTCTGTTCGTTGTCCTTTACGAGCTTCGGTCAGAAGATCTCCGCACTGAAAGGTGCGCACATTCTCGGGAATGCTAACAGCGCTCTCTCCGACGATGATGCCGGCAGGCTGGCCTTCCGTTTCCTTACCAGGATTTCAGTTGGTTGCCACTGGCTTCGAAGCCACAACAAGCTGGAATGCTGAAGGTCGCACCAGGTTTTGAAACTCCTTCAACACTTCAGTCTCCAGCTCACGATATTTCTGCAGGTCGCAGCGTGGCAGGAACAGAATTATACCAGGTTTGATGCAACCGCTGTTCGATGCGAGCCTTTTCATCTTCCATGTACAGGTCCACCGGCGATTTTGGAGCTCTCGCTGCCAACTCGCGAGACGCGGGGCTACAAAGTCTTGATCAAAATGCTCTCTCGGCAGTAGTTTCGATGCCGGATGCAGACCGTACAGAGAACCCCAATTTCGATGCCACCCTGGGTGCCTCCTTGTCCCCGTTCAGAAGATAGTATTTCAGCTTCGGGTAGTCGACCCCCGGTCTGTCCCAAGGCAAAGCCAATCCCTTCTGCATGGTCCCCCTGACTGAGGCAGAGGCTTTCTGCGCAAAAACAAAGTCCCATCGGGAGCTGGGACATACCTGGGATCGAAAATAGTTCTGCCCCACATTGGAATTCATTATCCCATGAGACCTTGAGGCCCTGACGCTAGCGAATCCATCAAGGCTTCTGCAACCATCTCACCTACAACGTTCTAACAGCACAGTGCAACTCTCTCGCAGCATGGTTTCTCATCCATGACTGAACTCGAGTTTCAACGATGCGGCATCATGTCCGACTTCTATAGTTGCTCGAGCAGAAGGCAGATTTGTCAAACACAGCAGCACCTGTGTTTCCATTTGTGCCAATGAAGTAGATCTTCTTTGGGACCTCGTGAGCAAAGAGACCAAGCCCTCAATCGTCTGATGCTTTAACGAACCGCCTCGTCTTTCTTCAGCATTTCCTCCCAAACCTTCTGTCCAGCTAACATGATGTCCTGGAAGACAGCCAGACAACTGCCACAGATCACGGAGCACCTTGCCCCCAACCTCGTACTTCTGAGCATACTTTCGTCCAGCAGCTGACATTTCAGGCGACACATTGTTGACCTGGTGGCAGTCAAGATGTTCACAAGTGAAATCTCCGAGTGTTGGCGCACCGGATCAGAGCCACCACCCGGACCGAGTCTCATTGCAGGAAGTTGCCCTCGCACCTCAAGAATCGTTGGAAAACGAATACATTCAAGAAGATGTCACAGACTGTTGTGTTGTTTTGTGTTACATAGACTCCGGCGGAGGGCTGCCATCTCCAGCCAACGAGTCGAGAGCTGGAGCAATTCCTCGCAGGAAATCTTCTGCAGTGCCCCGGACCCCGAAACTCCCCAAAAAGTGCCTGTCGGCGGATCGCCAAGCTGTAAAATCTAGCCATTGAAATTGCAGCAAGCTTACCTGAGCAAGCGTCAGGCAAGCCTGACAGCTGAGAGGATAGGACACCGCTGTGGACAACTGCCAGGTTAAGCACGTGGCTAAAAGCAAGGCGGCAGCCAAGAGGCAGCCGGGCCTGAAGTCTCACGATACTTCATGGCAAGAAGTGTACTTCCGAAGGTAGCATGCGATTGTCATGCTGCGGCCTTGGCAGCCCATGCCTGGCCATGCCTGGACGATGTGCCAACCAGATCCGACACCACACCATGAAGCTTGAGCCAAACACGGAGCTACCAAGCTTGAAATCGCCGACACATGCATCCAACAACGCTTGCGGACTTGCTAGATCTCTCTGCATGTTTCCTGGAACCGCACTTCCCCGATCATGAACCGAGCATTAACTCCACTACATGGAGAGGATGTTTTTCCAGAAAAATAACAGCATCATTTGGCTACCATGTTAGTTTCCACAGTATAAACGAGTAGCCACATCCCGTCCATGCCGTGAAACGAAAACGTCTGCCACATCCTCACAGGGCCCAGCCTTGCGACCCCGCTGGCCTGCAGTGGTGTCAAAGATCTTTTCACTGCGTACTAGTTTTCCAGTCTTTGCTGCATTGAAGCTGAATTGAATGTCGGCCTTCTTCTGCAAAGAACACCCACACACTAGAACTTTGTGCGGCGCTGGCTCTTTTGACTGTTTCTTGGCCCCAGAACGATGGTCAAATTGATCTAGGCACGCGGAAGCTCGGAGACCTGTCGGCATCTTTCGCAGTGTCCTGACACAACCCACTTCCTGGACCCAACCATTCGTTCTGCGCATGCACGAGGATGCCCCGTGCTGAGCTTCATGAGTTGATCTGATCTAAGAAACCTGCCAGCATGTTCGAAAGATACCTCTGTCTTCTAAACGCAACGATTTCAGGCTGTGTTGATTCACATGCCAGGCTCAATTGAGCCGCCGGACCCCAAAAATGCCTCGAAGGAAAGTTTTTAGTTGTGTCTCGCCGCTGCAGAAGAGTCTTCCTCGCATGTGTGTGTGTGTGTGTGTGTGGCAAGGGGGGACCCCTGAGGCGAAAATCTTGCGTGAGTTATGCTCGTGGATGCCGACGTGCATAGCTGAGCAACACCCTGCATCAGGAACACAGATTGGACAGCTACCACTCATCGTAGCTGCACGAGACGACTGGAACTCGACAAAGACCACTGTCTCGAAGGTGGAAACCTTTACCCTCAACTCCCTGGAAGCATGAGGCCCCGGCTGAATCATCGCACTTCTCTCGGGGCTTCGGGCCGCACGCGGTGCCTCAAGTTTCTCCTGAAGCTCGGCCTCACAACTGGGCAGTGATGCAAGGACTGCAAGGATATCTTTTGACCATTTGAGACCCTGCTCCCAAACCTTGTCGTCTTGCAAGGAGGAAACCTCGCAGCAATGCACTCGATCGCTTGACAAAACAAGAAGCTCCTCGCTCACTGGAACTGATTGTCGTGTCGAATACGGGTCGAAACTAACAGCTCTCTCACTCACATCAGCAAGGTTAACAACATCATCGACACACTTCTGGACATTGGGGTGCGCTCGGCTACTGAGGTGTGGCTGCAGTGACACAAGAAGATAGACTGGCTCGGTGTGTTCCGAGAAACGTTGCTGTGCCAACACGAAATGCTTTCTGCAATTCCGTCTCATAGTACGTGGCCTCCTTCCAAATACGTGTGTCTGTTGGAGCACGAGACATGGCATGGTCTGTGGTTTGCCACTTAGTATTTCGATTCGGGTATGCTGGACGAAGGCTGGGTCGAAGAGGATGGCAGGTTTTCCGTGCCGTGCCCTCGGGGCCCGGTCCAAGATTCTCTAAGCAAGAAATAGCCCAAATCCACCTTGACTAGACTCGACGATCCGTCACAGACAGGGTGAAGCAGGCACGTGAGGAGGTGCAGCAAATTGAATTCGCTGTGACGTCGTAAGAGACGTGAAGACATGTTGTTTAACGGCATTATCTGGGTGAACCACTACATCTAAAACCCGAAATGGTCCGCCACGTATGGGCGCTGTGGCGTGGCCTCTTGCTGCAAGGCCGCGCACTTGTCCGCATAAGCTTGCACCTGTGGAAGCATTGGCACAGATTCCCAAACGCCCAAGATTTCCGAAGGAGCCAAGGTCCAAACCATCTGCTCAAGGCCGGCCAATCGGCTCCTTCAGTTAAACGTTGTTGGGCGATCGTTCCCCCGAATCACTCCCACTAACTTTTGGCTGTCCTGATGGCCGAGGTCTCCGATGTGGCTTGGTGAAGTTGAACTTGCCTTATAACCAAGCATGCTTTGTGCTGCAAAAACCATATAACTCATATAACCAAATCTTTCAGCAAGCCGAGACTTGCACAGCTGTTCGCGATCCGAGCTGATATGTTCGACATGAGCCTGGCCACTTCATCAAGCTGGAAGGAGCTGTGACTGGCAATGGTTTTGCAAGGGTAGGCCTGCAACAACCCATGATCGTTAGCTGATGCTGAAGCTCGCAGATCGCTTTCCGCCTGCCACATCAGGGCGCCACATCGGGTGTGGCGAGCAAACAAGCATCGGCGGTTGCTGAAGCGATGGGAAACAAACACACACAGACGCATTTGTGCAAATGTCCAAACCGAGTATTGGGTCCTTCTTCCGGACCACACACCTTCAATTTGTGCAAGCAGGTACACAGAGCCGGTCAAGCTCTGCTTCCCATGAGATCATGTAGCTTCGTTGGACGTGGCCCCTGATCACATGCCACGTCTGTTGGATAATCTACAGGCTCTTCCAATCTTTACTTCAAGGATGTACACACACACCCCCTTCCAAGGAAAGGGTAATCTTTTCACTTCATATTCCATTAAGCAATCCAAGTCCACAGCACCAAGGCAGTCACTCTGACACGGCTTTGCATTTTCTGCTTACTCATACGGCTGCTTTTCCGCAGTCTGAGTTTGCTTTTCAAGAGCCTGTCGCTGCTTCTGAAACAGCTCAGTAATCGCATCAATGACCTCATTGATTTTTTGGTCGTTTTCCCGCAGTTGTGACTGAATGACGTCCAGCTGCCTTTGCTGTATCTGTTGCGTAGCCGCAAATTTATGGCGGTATGCTCGGAGGTCTTTCTTAACCTTGATGATCTTGATGATCTCTGCCTGGGTATACGAAATCCACCTCTGCAGTGAGGCTAGTGGATCGTAGGCCGAGGAATACTGCTCAGACACAGAGGCTCCCGACATTGCGACCGGGAGAGGGGTCAAAAAAAAACTATTCAAGGGATCAAAAAAAAACTATTTCCGGGATC